CTGCAGGTGTGTTCACATACAGAACATCACGTTCACCAGTTAAAACCAGTAAATGAAGTGTCTCCACCCAGCACTGAACTGCTGGGACAACCAGTCCTGTGCTATGACCAAGTGTTTCCTGACTGCTGATCGGTTTCTGTGCCCAAACCAGATGAGATCATATTTAAACAAAGAGATGCTAGTTTCTGATCTTTGTGTAGAAAGTGTGAAAATCCAACCCATCAAAAGTTTCTCTGTTCTCTCCTCCAACAGTTCATCAGAGAGGATGATGGGAGCTCGTATGTGGTCAGCGGGAGTGGGATGGTCAGTGACCGTTCCACTCGTCACATCAGCAGTGTGCCTCCGTCCTGGCAGCTCTTTTCCAGTCCTGTCAATCACACAGCCGGCGGCCTGGCTTTCTTCCAAGTGACTGAGCGTCAGATGACAGTCAGCTACATGCAGACAGATGGGAAATGTGTTTACCAGGCTGAGCTGCCAAAACGCAAAGTCTGAGGCTGCAGAGAGCGTAACCATCAGGAGCCGCCATGTTTGTTCATGTGCTGCACAGCTTTGTGTCATTTACTCCGGCCTTCTGTAAAATATAAAACCTTCATTTTAATTACAACTTTTAATTATTGTGAAATTAAACAGCTGTTTGGTCAATGATAGTAAATGTAATGCTTTTCACTTCTAATCTTTATGAATAGATCAGTGTGTATGCGTACATACCTGCATATGAATATGTAGGGAAATATATGTGATGCCACATCACAACAGCAGCCGCTTCAAAGCACTTTATATTGTAAGTTACAGGTGCTGCAATAACACTACAGTTCCTTTGTTGAGTACTGTTGCTTCGGTTACAGAAAAGCAGCCTGTGAAGAATAACTCGTTACTATTTTGTAACCATCAGCACTGTTTTCTTTGCTTTTGTTAAACAAATTTAATGTAAATTCACAGTTTCACATTCATAGTCACAGATGGTTTAAAAATAATTAAGCACTGATCGGCTCCTGATCAGTTATCGATCAGATGCTGTGATTGATGATGATGATGGTGATAATCATCTATAATGAAGCTACCTGATTGTGGCTGATGTCATAGCTTTGTTCTTTAGAACATGTACAACGTTCCCTCTGGAATCAATATGTTACCACAAAGTAACAGAAATACTTGTTTTCTTGAAATACACTTTTTCTCAGAATGATTGACAATATTTTTCTCTTAATGTGTCCCTGATACTTCTTTGTAATATACGGAGTCCAGTCCCACTGATGAGACGCTCTGTGCAGCCTCGTCTTCCTCCTGTTACACTCACTCAGAATTACATTTGTCAAGTTACAAGATCAGAAAATTCATTTGACCAAGACGTTTACAAAACTTTAAAGAACTTTTCATTTTGGTGGTGGCAGATCTGCATTTCGACTCGTGAATTAAAGGTTTAGTTACAGCTTTTCCAGGTTCCTCGACTGTGCAAAGGGACGTCTTTGATCTGTCAGTTTTGGACCTCTGGTGATTTTGGTCCAGTGAAGCAGCTGTTTTGTAACACCAGGAACGTCTACTGAACGTCTAGTGTAGAGATGGCACGATACCACTTTTTAATGTCCGATACCGATATCATAAATTTGGATATCTGCCGATACCGATATGAATCTAATATAGTGTTTTTTAATCAATAAAACTGTTTTTTAATATCTTGCTGCATTTTGTATAAGTTTATACTCAAGTTTAAATAAA